CAATAAAGAATTCTATTCTATCTATTCTATTCTATGATAGGTAGATTGGTAGGCAGGCAGGCAGACAGACAGACAGGTAGATTAGATGATAGATTAGACGAAAGATTAGATGTATTAGTTTACTTTAGATTAGTTGTATCTTATGATTCTTGATGAATGTATCTTTTCTTTTTATGTACACCGAGAGCTTGTGCACCGAAGACAAATTCCTTGTGTGTCCAATCACGCTTGGCCAATAAAGAATTCTATTCTTTTATTCTATTCTTCCAGATCTCCAGAAGAAGGCCTTCATTTTTCCTGCAGCTTCTCGCAATGCCTTCGTGCGCCTGAATGTCCCCCTTCAGGAGCCTTTGACCAGCCTCTCCGTCTGCCTGAGGCACCACTGCCCACTCGTGCGCCCTTATTCCCTCTTCTCTTACGCCACCCGGTCCAGTGACAATGATTTCCTGATTTTTAAGGACAAGCCCGATGTCTATTCCATTAGCGTCGGCGGCTCGGATGTCCGTTTCAAGATTCCTAGGCAAGAGATTCCCCGTTGGGAGCACATCTGCGTCTCCTGGGACTCCAAAAATGGGCTGATCAACTTTTGGCTCAACGGAGTTCTTCTCCCCCGTTTGGGAACCAAAAAGGGCCACAAGATCAACCACCAGGCTTCTATCATTCTGGGGCAGGACCAGGATACGTTCGGGGGAGGCTTTGACATCAACCAATCCTTCATGGGGGACATGTCAGACGTCCACATGTGGCCCCAGGTGTTGACCACCGAGGACGTTAGGTTGCTCATGAAAGACGACACCGTGCCCAATCCTCTGGCCAGCTGGAACTCTTTTAATTACACGATTCAGGGTTATGTGGTCCTTACGGAGGAAGCGCCTTAGGCTTTTCCCCAATGGAAGACCTGCGTTTGAAAAGAAAGGAAAGAAAGGAAGGAAAGGAATTCTCTTTGGAAAAAAAGAAGAAGAAGAAAGCGTAGTTTTAGTCTCTTGCATGTTTGAAGTAGATCGTGATTGATATGTAGACGATACAAGCCCGAAAATCACTAGCGGGCATTATTCTAATCTGCTTGTAATAAAATAAACCGCTTGTTCATGATAACGTCGGATTTTTCTCTTCTCTTTATTTTAATCGTGCAATTGTGGATCCAAGGAACAAGGGCTTCTTTCCTTGCGGGAGGTGATTTCAACTTTTCTTTCTTTCTTTCTTTTTTTTAAATACACTGCTCAAAAAAATAAAGGGAACACTTAAACAACACAATGTAACTCCAAGTCAATCACACTTCTGTGAAATCAAACTGTCCACTTAGGTAGCAACACTGATTGACAATCAATTTCACATGCTGTTGTGCAAATGGAATAGACAACAGGTGGAAAGCAGAGGCAGTTAGCAAGACATCCCCAATAAAGGAGTGGTTCTGCAGGTGGTGACCACAGACCACTTCTCAGTTCCTATGCTTTCTGGCTGATGGTTTGGTCACTTTTGAATGCTGGCGGTGCTGTCACTCTAGTGGTAGCATGAGTCTACAACCCACACAAGTGGCTCAGGTAGTACAGCTCATCCAGGTTGGCACATCAATGCGAGCTGTGGCAAGAAGGTTTGCTGTGTCTGTCAGCGTAGTGTCCAGAGCATGGAGGCGCTACCAGGAGACAGGCCAGTACATCAGGAGACGTGGAGGAGGCCGTAGGAGGGCAACAACCCAGCATCAGGACCGCTACCTCCGCCTTTGTGCAAGGAGGGACAGGAGGAGCACTGCCAGAACCCTGCAAAATGACCTCCAGCAGGCCACAAATGTGCATGTGGCTGCTCAAACGGTCAGAAACAAACTCCATGAGGGTGGTATGAGGGCCTGACGTCCACAGGTGGGGGTTGTGCTTACAGCCCAACACCATGCAGGACGTTTGGCATTTGCCAGAGAACACCAAGATTGGCAAATTCGCCACTGGCGCCCTGTGCTCTTCACAGATGAAAGCAGGTGCACACTGAGCACATGTGACAGACGTGACAGGGTCTGGAGATGCCGTGGAGAACATTCTGCTGCCTGCAACATCCTCCAACATGACCAGTTTGGCAGTGGGTCAGTAATGGTGTGGGGTGGCATTTCTTTAGGGGGCCGCACAGCCCTCCATGTGCTCACCAGAGGTAGCCTGACTGCCATGAGGTACTGAGATGAGATCCTCAGACCCTTTGTGAGACCATATGCTGGTGCGGTTGGCCTGGGTTCCTCCTAATGCATGACAATGCTAGACCTCATGTGGCTGGAGCGTGTCAGCAATTCCTGCAAGACGAAGGCATTGATGCTATGGACTGGCCCACCCGTTCCCCAGGCCTGAATCCAATTGAGCACATCTGGGACATCATGTCTTGTTCCATCCACCAACGCCACATTGCACCACAGACTGTCCAGGAGCTGGGGGATGCTTTAGTCCAGGTGTGGGAGGAGATCCCTCAGGAGACCATCCGCCACCTCATCAGGAGCATGCCCAGGCATTGTAGGGAGGTCATACAGGCATGTGGAGGCCACACACACTACTGAGCCTCATTTTGACTTGTTTTAAGGACATTACATCAAAGTTGGATCAGCCTGTAGTGTTTTTTCCACTTTAATTTTGAGTGTAACTCCAAATCCAGACCTCCATGGGTTGCTCAATTTGATTTCCATTGATCATTTTTGTGTGATTTTGTTGTCAGCACATTCAACTATGTAATGGACAAAGTATTTAATAAGAATATTTCATTCATTCAGATCTAGGGTGTCTTATTTTTGTTTTCCCTTTATTTTTTTTGAGCAGTGTATATTTTTTATTTATTTTCTCTTTGCATACAACATGTGCTTAACAAACAGCATACTGCCTGAGTCAATTCATTTACATAGTTTACATACTTATTGAGTTCCTAATTTCTACCTCTTTTATGCAACCATTGATAAAACAAGCCCCAAGTTTGGAAATAGCCTGGGTCGTCTTTTTCTTTTATCTTCTTCAACTTTTCTTCTGTTACATCATCATCATCTTGTAACGATCCCATAATCCCTTGCGAGGGTGGAGTCCAGGCAACTGAATGGAGCTAGCAGAGTGTTTTACTGGCCGGATGCCTTTCCTGTTGCCAATGAGGAGTTTTGTACAGCAGATAAATTCTCAGTGTGCCCAAAGAGAGAAATATCTGGCTCTACCAAGGATCGAACTCACAGCCTCCTCAGAGTTCCACCTGTTTTGGTTGCCGCCACACACGGCTGGCTCATATTTAACTGGTTGTCCACTAAGACTCCAAGGTCCCTCTCCCAGGTACTGCTATTAAGCCTGGTTTCACCCAGTCTATAGGCGTACTTTTGGTTTTTCTTGCCTAATTTGCGTACCAATGGCAGCCAAAAAAAGAAAAATTAAAAATTGGGTGTGAATTGCATTACTTAGCCACGTAAATTCTGGCCTCCACTGTCGTCCTAAGTTGCAGCTCCGCCAGAAGAGAGAGACATGTGAACTCCCTTGAATTAAAATAAAAGTGAGCGTCAAAATGAATTAAAATAAAAGCCAGCGTACAATTGGATACGGTCAAAAAGTTGACGTGACTTGAATATCCTGGCCAAGGATCCAGAAACGGAGCCTCTGAATAATAACTGCCTTTGTTTGAGGTTAAAGAGGAATATCAGAGCAATGTCAACAAGTGACTTGAGATGTTTGTTTATTTATCTATGGATCCATCAATCAGACTGACAGACTATTAGGGTGGTTGATTAAGTCCTGATTAAATGAAACCCATTCAACTGGGGAAACAGAAATGTCAGCTCAACCTGCCCCTTGTTCTAAGTTCAAAAGAAACATCAGCGTCATTCATTTGAGAAGTTGATTTGACCCTGCAAGGAGAACACGGCTCATCACCCAAAGACATCAGCCAAAGAGTTCCTGCAAACAGCCGGTTCCTCCTTCCTTCCTTCCTTCCTTCCTTCCTTCCTTCCTTCCTTCCTTCCTTCCTTCCTTCCTTCCTTCCTTCCTTCCTTCTTATCCTTGCCTGCCTGTCAGGATCCTTTGGCCAAAAAGGTGAGGCTTAAAACCCACCTGTCCAGAAGCTGGGTGAAATCTGCTGAACTTTTCTGGATCCAAAAGAAATAATGGCCAGGGCACCTTATAATTCCCCCCTGTCACTTGTCAAAACAGGTGGGACTTGTCAAAAAGCTTTTCCCACCTGACTTGCTCAGGGCTCAAACGCCGCTTATCTGTCCATTGTGTTGTTAGCAGCTCTCCTTCGTCTCTCCCACTACCCAATCTTTGGCAGGGGTCCTGCTAACGGAGCTGTTGTCAGCTCTGGAAGCCATATTTTACTTAATTATACCTTTACCTTCTACCTTGTAGGGTTACAGCTTCTCTTTTTAGTTCAACCTTCACCAAAGTGGCTAACTCCACCTGAGTAGCTTTCAACTCCAAGAATTCTCAGTCAACATGACCGCAGCTGAGAATCTTGGATCTTGAAGACCACGTTCTGGACACCATCACCCTGAATTCCCTAGCTGGTGAAGATAACAGATAACAGATAATCAGAGTTGGAAGGGACCTTGTAGGTCATCTAGTCCAACCCCCTGCGGGAGACCCTACACTATTTCTGACAAATGGCAGTCCAATCTCTTCTTGAAAGTCTCAAGCGATGGCGCTCCCACAACTTCCGAGGGCAAGCTGTTCAACATCATCAATGCTTCAGAGTGGACACATGGAACCCACATATCTGACATGGGTCCAGTTAAGGGAAGGATGATGTTTTGACGTGGAAAAAAAACCATGGGAAAGATAAGAATATCCTGGGCAGGGATCCAGAATGGCAATTATGCATAATAACTGCCTTTGTTTTAGAGTTAAGAAAAACATCAGATCAATGTCATCGAGTTGGTGTGATTATGAGGTGTTTGTTCATTTATCTGTGGATCGATCAATTGAGTTATTCGGATGGTTGATTGAGTCCTGATTAAAAATGTTATCCTTTCATTCATGGGGCAACTGGGAAAACAGAAGGGGCAGCTCAGCCTGCCTCTTCTTCTAATTTAACTTCAAGAGGGTGTCATCATTCTAGAAGGTGATTTGGTCCTGCAAGGAGGACACAACTCCGTGCCCAAGGACATCGGAACAAGAGTTCCTGCGACCAGCCGGTTCCTCCCACATCCACCATGATGGTCCTCCTTCCTTCCCTCCTTCTTATCCTCGCCTGCCTGTCAGGATCCTTCGGCCATGAAGGTAAGGCTTAAGCCCATGTATGGAGCAGGTCCACCTGTCCGTGGAAGGTCCGGTGCTCTCCAGAAGCTGGTTGAAGTCTGCTGAACTTTTCATTGGCCCATCCTGCTTGCTTTTTACCTTCTGCTTTTAATTCTGTTTGCTTGAGCTGATAATAGAGCTATAAATCCCTTTATTGGCTTATTCTTTCTGGATCAAAAAGAACCCACGGCCAGGGCACCGGATCCTTTCCCTGACCCTTGGCAAAACAGTTAAGGTTTGTCAGGCAGGTTGTCCCACATTCCTTTCTTGCTCAAGGCTCAAGTTCCTTTTTACCTGTCCACTGTGTTGTTGGCAGCTCTCCTTCACCAGATCTTGGGCAGGTGTTCTGAAACCAATAATAACCAATAATCAGATTATGGTCCTGTTCATAATTTATCACTTGTGGCTTGTAAGGTATGTGCACTGTGAGCTTTTGTACAGGAGACAAATTCCTTGTGTGTCCAAATCATGCTTTGCCAATAAACAATTCTGTTCTGTTCTCTTCTATTCCTCTATTTCTATTCTGTTCATTTCTATTCTTTTTTGTAGATAAAGTTTTTTTTATTTTTAAACACAAACATACACATACAAAAACATAAAATCCTCTTCCATTTTATATACATACAGTGTGTCAGTTGGTTACGTGTCTTTTGTGCTATACTTTTGTAGTCATTTACTCACAATTTCTTCACATTGTCAAACTAACATATGTTTATATATTTATCAGTTATTAATCATCCACGACTAAACTATTTATTCCATCATTTTATATGAGATGTTCCACATTTTATCTTAAAATTTGTTATACTTTCAAATTTCTATTTCTATTTCTTATTCTATTCTATTCTATTTCTCTATTTCTATTCTATTCTAGTATTCTATTCTATCCTATTTTATTCTTAATTCCTATTCTATTTCTATTCTATTCCTCAATTTCTGTTTCTATTATATTCTGTTAATTTCTATTTCTTATTCTATTCTATTTCTCTATTTGTATTTGTATTGTATTGCATTGCATTGTATTTGTATTTGTATTTTATTGTATTTGTATTTATATTTATACTGTATTCTATTCTATTCTATTCTATTCTATTCTATTCTATTCTATTCTA